CATATCGCCATCAGCACAGTAATTCCATGCTGTTGGTTTGTGCGTTGACCTACAAGAACAGGGATTTGTTTTGCCTGAACCTTTCTGACCAATCCTTCAAGACTCTGAAGAAGGCTGTGAGAGCTCATTCAGTGCTCGTGATAGGAGATACCACCTTGCGATGTCTACGTGGAACAGACACCAGTTTAATTTCATCTGGGTGCTGTTATGATGGGATGACACCTGATGAGTTGCGGCGGGAACACTATCTACAAGGCTGCTACTTTTTTGCATACTCGAACCACCCAACTTTGCAGCCGTGGAGATGTCTCTCATAAGGTGCAATTGATTTGAGATGAGATGCAAGAAAGGGTGCTAAAACAGAGTACGTAATGCTCATTTTCTTAGGCCTGAAAGACTGCCTACCAGCATGGAAACTCTAGATATCAGCAGCTCTAACCATGACATGATGTCATTCAACTGGGGCATTACCTGGTGATCTGCTCTTTGACATGTTCCAAGTAGTCTGCAACACAATCGTAGTGTATCGTGCCAGAGCACTGTGCATGGCAAACGAAGATAGCGTATACATACGCTCACAAAGAATACCAACAGAAAACTCAATGTTGCACTCAAATCACAATACAGCACAAGATACCAACTAACGTTGCATCGTGGTGTTTTATATCTGAGAAGACAAACCTGCTTCCGCAGGTTGGCATTCGGTATACCCGTGCCGGATGAGTGCATTTGGCACGATACACTCCGAGTTCGAAGAAGCAAAGGGCAAGCATGGCGAAAGCAGTTCACTAGTGTAGGCACACCAAAGAGAAAGGTCATGACTGCAGGCAAACGGTGGGCAACACAATTGGGGCTCCAAACAATGGAGGCTTCACGAAAGTGGGCACTGCCAGATGAGTACGGCGGGTGATTCCCACAGGCAGGCTGCAAGAGCTCCAGCACAGGAGTCCGACCCTAACCGTAACAACAATTGCAGCTGTGAGCACAAACTATAGGTCGATAGAAAGATAACCCTCTCATTGGGCAACGGTATGCAACATGTCTGCATTTATGCTTGAGCATGCATCGGATTACAGGAATTTCACAAGTACCGGCCCGAATGTCCAAAGCCCAGTGGGTACGGTGCAAGGGATTTGGGGCCGAATGTCCAAAGCCCAGTGGGTACGGTGCAAGAGATTTAGGGCCAAATGTCCAAAGCCCTGTAGGTACGGTGCCTGTGCTCCACAGGTCTTCTGTCACAAGACACAGGCTGCGGGTTGAAGTCTTCCGTGGACCAGAGGGGCGTGTGAACGGTTGCTCAAACAATGCTGCAATAGAAGCCCTCGATGCTGGACACCAGCCCATTTCACATCCTCAACCTGGGGGGCGATCATAAGGCTGTGATGTTGTATGGGGGGTCCTGTCCGTCGGGCGTCCTGCAGGCTGCAGTTGCAACACAGAGATTCGGTTGTTGGTTTTTTTTTTTTTTTTTTTTTTTTTTTTT